TTAGTTATCTCGTTAGCTAGCTGGCTAGCTGGCTAGCTAGCTAGCTAGCTAGCTAGCCGGCTGGATGGATAGATAGCTAGAGGATTGCTAGCTGGATGACAGGTAGCTGGGTGGTACTTAGCTGGATGATAGCTAGCTAGCTAGCTAGCTAGCTGGCTAGCCGTCTGGCTAGCCAGCCAGCTAGCTTTCTAGCTAGCCAGCTAGCCAGCTAGCTATCTAGCTAGCCAGCTAGCTGGCTGAGTCATCTAGCAGAGGCCCCGACACAGCAGCATCTGCCGAACGTGCTGGGGCGCCAGGCTGCACTAAACCCCATCCCCCGCTGCTGCTGCTGCTGCTGCTGCTGCTGCTGCTGCTTGTTAGGGCTGCTGACGCTGTCAATGGGGGGCAGTCTGCTGCGGGACTGGGGCGAACTTTGTCTCATCTTGTGCTGCTGCAAAAGTCTGAAGAGTCTTTGCCTTGCTGACACGCGGCTGCAGCACTTCGAGCTGCTGCTGCAGCAGCAACCTGCTGCTGCTGCTGCTGCTGCAGAGCCTGCAGCAGCAGCTGCTGCTGCTGATGCACACAGCTGCCGCATTGCGGCGGCCCTCCAAAGACTCCTGAAGCAAAAAGACGCAGCAAGGACCCAGACCGAGCCAGAAGATGCTGCTGCAGCTGCTGCAGCTGCCGCAGCTGCTGCAGCTGCTGCTGCGGCGCCTGCCTCCGCTGCTGCTGCTGCTGCTGCTGCTGGTTTGGTTCGCTGCTGCTCTCTCGAGAGCTTGTCTCTTGACAGCACATTTGTGTCTTGGGCCGACGTGAGGAACCCGCTGCTACCCCTCCCCCAAACCCTAAACCCCAAACCCTAAACCCTAAACCCTAAACCCTAGCAGCTGCTGGGGCCCGCGTGTGTTTGCTGCTGCTGCAGCTGCTTTGCTTCAACTTTTTGGCCCCGAAGCTGCAGCAGCTTTCTCTCCGCAGCAACGGCCTCAGCGGCTGCAGCCCTTTGCCTCTTTTTTCGCCCCTGCAGCCTAAGCAGCAGCAGCAGCAGCAGCAGCAGCAGCAGCAGCAGGGGTGCTGCTGCAGGGAGTGCGCGCATGCGTTTGGCAGCCTGGAGTGTCTAGACATTGGCAGCAATTGTATTTCTTTCTTTTCCCTTCTTTGTGTCTTCGCAAAACTTCCCAAACTTTCGAAACTTTACGCAGCAAATAATGGCATCAAGGGGCCC